TTTTTACGAAGCGTAAATGCTATACAGGTGTTGATATATCACATTGAAAGCATGAGTGAAAGCAATATATCCACGTGCGGCAGACAGGAGAGCGGCAGACATGACAGGCAATGAAAGGCTTAGTGAAAACTTACTATCGATAGTACTATCGATAGTATCGATAGTTTGAAAATATCGATAGTGGGTCGATAGTATTATACTATCGATGAGACTATCGATAGTTTTTTTTACGTTAAATTAAGTAAAGAAATCATTATCTGGTACTCTTACATTTCATTGTTTGTCTGTTAATGCATACATATAGTTAATATTATAGACTATTTTTTTTTTAATTCATTGTAGAAAAGCTCGGTAGACAAGTAGGCTACCTTCTCAAACATTTGAAAGCGGGGGCATTTGCTAATTCACTACCGGACTTATGGGTACATTTGCCTCGTGGGTTTTAGCATACATAGTAGACACCGGTATACGGTATTTTCCTTTGATCTATGGTTTTAGATTGTCATAAAATATATATATATATATATATATTATTTATGCTATGTGAGTAAAAAAATATTTTTGTAGTGAATAATAAAAAGAAAATAGTAAGAGAATTTTTCTTTTTTTATTGTTGTAACCCTTAAAAAAAAACTTATTGTTATTTTATACAAATGTTGTAATATTTTGGAAAAAAAAACATAAAGGGGGCTCCAGGGCGTCACTCATAAATTGTTAAAATTAATAATCTGATACAGCTTTATCTTCGACTAGGTAGAAACCATTGTTTAAACTCATGCAGGCAGGATATATACAATATTATATGCATTAAAATTCCATTTGAGTGACTATCGATAGTACTATCGATAGTATCGATAGTTTTTAAAAAACTATCGAAAACTATCGATAGTGTGACTATCGATAGTAAGTTTTCACTAGAAAGGCTGGGGCGTGTGACCTTCAGTCTTATCAGAGGTCAAGTTCAAGGCCACGGTGACGCCCGCGCCGCAGTTACTGGGTCGATGTACTCCGCTGTTTACTCCTGAAGATTTCATCGCGAACAAGATAAATTCTTTGGTTTTCTCAAGAGATTTAAAAGACAGCATTGGCAGCAAATATATTTATGTCAAAATTTCTCATTTGTCTGGTAAAGTTGTGATACAAATTATTACAAACTAATTGCTGTCTTATAAAGCATAAGGAGTACATGTTTATGTTAATTAAAATTGTATATTAATTGAAGTATTTTTATGCCAACAAACCGTGAAATAAAGTGAATGTATTAATGACAAATTTTGAAATATCTGAAATAGATATTGACTAGAAATAATAATTACTTAAGTCAGTATTCAACCAAGCTTCTATAGTATACAATGTTAAGTGTTAATCTACTCACAATTACAACATTTTTAATTTATTACAATGTAAAACACAACTATGAACAGTTGTACTTTATTACTTTGTTTTTGTGAACTATCTTGACATATCAATGTCATTTTGGTATATTAAATACTGGTGTGAACCAAATTTTGGTCAAATACTTTATTAAAGATCATAATGGTACTAATACCTTATAAGTGGATACGATGACATAACGTATTTTGTATTTATTGTATTTTTTCACTACACAAAAAAACTTCATTCAAAGTGTATTAAAACTTAATAAAAACAAATAAAATACAATTATTAAAAAAATACCAAAGTAAAATACATTTACATATAGTATGGCCATAGCTTTATGGAAATGGTAAACATCCTGATTCAAACATACGTACCTAGTGTAAATCAAACAAATAATTATTTGTGCTAAGTTACTTTTTTCATTTCTTGTATTACTTGGTAAGGGGGAGACATAAAATGCATATGGTACAAATCCTGTAATTGATCAAATCCAACAAAACTCTGTCATGTCCGATGTTTATACATTTTGTAGTTATGAAACTAAATACCTTTTTCTTTTGAATTTTGATGTCGGAACAAATCGTGGCGTTGCACGAAATGAATTAATTCCTCGCCCTCTCCGACAATCTAAATTGCTCAATCTGAACGTAGATAAGCTCGACGAATTATTATTACAGGTTAGCGGTCAAAGTGTTTTATTACGTCAACTTCAGATAAATAACTCAGTTTTTTCACCAGTTACGATGAACTTTGAGGTGAATACCTACGTAAGGTGATTTAAAGAAAGATTGTGGCCAAAGATCTAGTAGATAGTACTTTACTGCTTTAGGATTTTACTGAAAATACTGATGAATACGAAAGTTTTTTTTATTTATAAATTAATTTGGTTGAACACATTAAAGATGTTTTTACATTGGCGGCTGGCACAAATAAAACTCACACTGTTGTTTTCCTAGTAATTTTCATAAGATAAAATGGATCATTATTAAATTGTGAAAATAAAACGTACCTAAAATTGTTATAACATCAATGTACACGAGACAACTTAACATTGTAGATATAGTTCTGTTTAAATTGCGTTAAATTTGATAAGAAAGGGTAACACGCATATGAGATATAATTACTCGAAAAGTACTATAAAATGGGACAAAGGAAAAATTACACGTAAATATTGTATAGCAAATCGTAAAAACGGCCACACAGTTATGAATATAAAAATCAAATTAGTAGCTAGGACTACGTATGAAACTATTTGGACATTGAGTTAAGAATCACGTTAGGTGTAATTGTTTGAATAATCGATCGATTAGTTTTTTAAAGGTTCTGCTCTTCAATGATATAGTGGTTTGGTCTATCAGGTGTAAAAACGGCGGATATTTCCAATAAAACTACATTTGAATACAATAAGCTATAATACCCTCGCCGCTGCTAACCTGCAGACTAAACGAATTTATTTTTGCATGATTGGATTTTAACAAAAAGATTTCCTTAAAAATGTCAGATTTATTTCCTCAGAACATTAAGTTTAATGATTACTTTCGTTTGCTGCCACAGAGAAGGAAATACTGTTAAGTGTGTTTTTTATGGTGATAGCATAGAATGAAGTAAATACATTTTATAAATTTGATTGATGAAATGAAAATAATTAAATTAAATTATTTGGCTAATCCATTGACAAACAAACTACAACAGTTTCCGTACAGTCCTTAAAAATAACATAGAATTTTTTAATGTACACTTTTTATTTTCTCCGTTATCATTATGTTCGAAACGACATTTCAGTATACTAATTATAATTTTTTAAGCTACACAAAACGGCTTAGAAAGGAAATTACGAAATTTTATGTTTTTAGGTTCAATGTGTATTTGACCACTACGGACATAAAATTAGACAAATCGGTCCCGGGTCAAGGTCTTACCATGAGACATACGGTAATACTGTAGTTGATTCCCAATGGGAAATTCGCTAAACGAGAGGCGAGATATTGATTAGACAGTAGACAGTGAGTACGGCCACCCACAAGTCCTTACCCTTGTCATTAGCCCCTCTAATCACTGGTGGTTGTCAGGATCTGTCCCTTTCCTTTCCCAAGTCAATCACACCTCACTTGTGAAAGGTGTGGGGAGCGAACACGCTTCAAACCCTTTTGTAACACGTTGCGCCACGTATCGTCCGTCGTGTGCGTGTGAACCTTGGAAAGTCTCTTATCTCTGTGTCAACTGTGGGTGTTTGGTGCATGGGTAGATTTATTTGAAGGATTGCTATTTTTACTGAATAAGTTATACCATAAGGTAATCCTAATGCCACCACCACATCAAACCTGCAGACTAAGCGAATTTCCATTTGCCAGATTGGATTTACACTAAAATGTCTCCTTTAAATATCACATTTATTCTCTATATTAATAGAATTAGTTTTACAAGTAATTAGGTTTGCTGCAACAGAGAGGCTAAAAGAGTTTTTTTTCTATGTAAATAGTTTAGTAAGAAATAAATGCATTTTTCCAAATTTGATCAAAATATGTTCATAAAAAAGCAAACTACAGCAGATTACTTATTCCCTATAAGAATAACATGGGAAAATTAAAATTAATTACTAAAATTATTTTTTCCGCAATTATTAGGCACTGTAATAAACTAAATCATGTGTTTTTTAAGCTCTTCAAAATGGTTTGGAAAGAAATTGACACTACAACCCGCACCCTCTACAGACCCTGCTGTCTGGTGCACCGCCCCTGCGGTTGACTAACCCTTTGACAATACTGTGAAGGCGCTATGTTACAGATAGTCAGTCTACTGTTCACGACGGTGTACGCGGCAGAGGTAGGAATCCCAGAGAGGTTCCTCAGACCTCGACACTACAACCCGCACCCTCTACAGACCCTGCTGTCTGGTGCTGCGCCCCTGTCGCTCACTAACCCTTTGACAATACTGTGAAGGCTCCATGTTACAGATGGTCAGTCTACTGTTCACGACGGTGTACTCGGCAGAGGTAGGAATCCCAGAGAGGTTCCTGAGACCTCGACACTACAACCCGCACCCTCTACAGACCCTGCTGTCTGGTGCTGCGCCCCTGTCGCTCACTAACCCTTTGACAATACTGTGAAGGCTCCATGTTACAGATGGTCAGTCTACTGTTCACGACGGTGTACTCGGCAGAGGTAGGAATCCCAGAGAGGTTCCTGAGACCTCGACACTACAACCCGCACCCTCTACAGACCCTGCTGTCTGGTGCTGCGCCCCTGTCGCTCACTAACCCTTTGACAATACTGTGAAGGCTCTATGTTACAGATAGTCAGTCTACTGTTCACGACGGTGTACTCGGCAGAGGTAGGAATCCCAGAGAGGTTCCTGAGACCTCGACACTACAACCCGCACCCTCTACAGACCCTGCTGTCTGGTGCTGCGTCCCTGCGGCTGACTAACCCTTTGACAATACTGTGAAGGCTCCATGTTACAGATAGTCAGTCTACTGTTCACGACAGTGTACGCGGCAGAGGTAGGAGTCCCCGAGAGGTTCCTGAGACCTCGACACTACAACCCGCACCCTCTACAGACCCTGCTGTCTGGTGCTGCGCCCCTGTCGCTCACTAACCCTTTGACAATACTGTGAAGGCTCCATGTTACAGATAGTCAGTCTAGTGTTCACGACAGTGTACGCGGCAGAGGTAGGAGTCCCCGAGAGGTTCCTCAGACCTCGACACTACAACCCGCACCCTCTACAGACCCTGCTGTCTGGTGCTGCGCCCTTGCGGCTGTCACAGGTACTACTGGATCAACCCCCGTACCAGCTGTACCCTCGGACCTCCGCCAGACAAGATGACAGCAGTCCTGTACAGTTCCCAGAGGTTCCTGCAACAGTCAAGCCTCCAAAGAAAACCTCCTCGGTGTATGGTCTGGTAAATATACGCATCAATTCATTGTTACCCTATCGCAGCTTGTATAGAATTTAGAAATACTTAACTGAAAAAAAAATAAAACTATAGATCACAAAATATTATTTGGCACAATCAAGAATCCAAACACCCCTCGTAAAGTAATGGTGAAGATAAACAATGAGCTGTTTAGGTTGTGAGCAGAGAAATATGTTTTTTGGTTGATGAATCTATTGGTGGATCCCAATTATGCTTTTTCCAGTTGGCTCCAGCCCAACAACCTCTAAACAAGTCATTCTGTTAATTAAAGTTTTATTTTGGCTCATTTGAGTTTTGTTATAGGCCCTACCATTACTCTAAGGTTCAAAAGGGTTGCCGTAAAAATGAAATTATTTGTTTTACTCCTTGCGTACCATATCGTCTTGGTTCTAAGTGAACAAACAAGTACAATAACTACAACTAGTAAATCACATTTATTTGATCGTAAATTAGTTACATGAGTTTTATTTGAACTATTAATTCTAAATTATTTTTACCTGATATTTAAAAATATCATAAAAAATGTAATTATTTATTTATAGTATAGAGATATTACTTTTCATTACGTATAACATGTTTATGCTATGTATTTTATCACATGAATCCAACCTTTCAAACTAAAGATTATAAATACTGTATCAGGAAGTCTTGCTTGTCTGTGGTATAATTAAAGACTGCAACATTTACAGGCAACCCACTTGACTTTATTGTATAGCGTACAGCTTCTAGAGAGCTGCAGGCCCTCGGTATATCCTCATTCTGTAATAGAACCACTGTGCTCATATAACAGAAGGAGAAATTAAAAGATCGAGGGCGTAATAGTTTTTGTTATTTATTATACCACACTTTCCTCGACATTATATGTTTTTTAAATTAAAACTTGGTACCTTAGGCTAGACGTTCATACCACCTGTGTCGTCGCATATTCTGCTTTGTACGGAAACAAAGTTTTTATTTTTTTCTAACTATATATTACCGTGTAATTCTTTTATAACATTTATATCTACTTGAATAAAACAAACATAGTTTCTAAAAAGGAGATTAAAGGACTAAATAGTAGACTAAAGGAGTTGACTCTAGTTGTCTTTTCTATATACTTCTCTTTGTTTTTCTGTTGTGTAGGTCATTTTTAGATCGTTATTTTTCGGAGCAATTTAACATAAAAAGTGCATAGAAATGTACTTCCTCTAAGTTTTTATGAAACCCATACTAAACAAATAGTCGGGGGGCAAACTGTATTCCGTGGGATTTTTTGTGAAGGGAATGTGTGACTATGTGGAATCTCTTTATTATATGTCACATAATGGTGTAGTACCGGGTGTTTACCCTCAAATTGGGGGGTTTGGTTTTTATGACGTCTTAAATCCAAGATGGCCGCCATGTGTGACATCTATTCATTAAATTGATAATAACTCTTTTCAGAGTAAAATAATCGAATTTTTATTTATACCATTGAATTCAGCTCAAAAAATCAAACAATTTGGTGTTTTGAATCATTGCTCTATGACCATTAGTTACCGAGATATTGAAGGCGGAAAACACAGAACATTGTCCCCAAGCAAGACCCCACTACCCCCATGTTATCCTTATGGGGAAAAAATAAAATTGTATATCTAGCTTATTACTCAGCATATCTTAATAATAATTGGTATGTGGCTTCATTTAGTAGAGATCTACTTGATTATGGCCTAAAATCCCCCATTTTTACATTTCCGTGGCAGCAAACCTGCATACTCACTTCCCATGTTAATCTTATGGAAATTTTTTTGCATGCTTGTTTATGAACATACGTGTTGAGAAATGTTAATGTGTGGCCCCATTTTAATTATTTATTGAAGCATTTGCAATTCGTTGAGTATACAGGTCTGCTGCTACGGGGTTATTGTAGCTATAAACAAATTACAGGTCTAAAATAGGTAGAAAATAAAATAAATTAGACTAGTTGTGAGGCATATGTAATTTTGTAGGATTTTGAATTAAGCAATTGTATGATTGTTGGCAATAGATAGGTAATGATATGTCTGTAAGTGTGGCCACGCTGGTGTTTTCGGCCGCCATCTTGGATCCGCCATATTGGATATTAATAACTTTTTTTATGCAATGCTAGTGTTGTGACACATCATTATGAACTAAATTTTCACGCTGATTTCAATGCTGAAATATGTTTTTAAATATCTTTTTTCGTTTGGAAGATATTCAAATAAAAAAGGTCATCAGTGTTACAATTTTTAGACGTGGAACCTCTTATATGCCTTATATGTCTTATATGCATCATCACACATAATTTACTTTGTACTTACACCAAACAAATGTTGTAACCCTGATGACCAGCCCTGTATGTCTTTAATTGCTTTAACCAAAGACAAATTTCAAAATAAAAATAATTATTCATGTTAAATAAAGGTCCATGATTAATTTTCAATTAGTCAGATTTCATTTAGTGATTGATAAAATTTTAAACCAAACATTTACTGAGTAATTTGAGGCTAGAATGAACCCTTTGACGTATTAACAACCCGAGATATAAATCTTTAAAAAAAACCTGATTTGGAAAAAGTTAAATTTAATATTGTGTTGTGGTTCATAGCTCAACTCTAACTCGTCCGATTTTAATGATCGATAGCTTAAATAAAAGCTCTTACATCACTGAATACTTTAAGACTAGAACAAATTACAAGCGATAATAAGAACTGGATATATGAGAAAAATAATCTGAAAAATAATTAAAGTACGAAACATCCGTAAGAAATGTATGGGGGGGGGAGTTTTCATTTCAATATATCTTCGAAACGAAAAACGATATTTACAAACGGTTTTCGGAATTGAAATTAACGTAAACATCTAGTTTATAATAATGAGTCACAACACCAGCATTAGATTTAAAAATTTGTATTAATATCCAATATGGTGGATCCAAGACGGCGGGCCAAAAACACTAGCTAGGCTACACTTTCAGACAAAACACCCGGTAGTACACGATTCTATATGTCACCTATCTATCACCACCAATCAATCATACAATTGCACAAAAACACAAGAAATTACATATGACCCAGAACTATAGTCTATTTTATTTTATTTTATACCTATCATTTGTGAGATTTTTTTATTGCTACAATACCCCCGTAGCAGCAGACCTGTATACTCAACGAATTGCAAATGCTTCAATAAATAATTAAAATGGAGCCACACATCATCATTTCTCAAAGTATGTTCATGGACAAGCATGCAAAAATATTGACCATAAGAATACCACGGAAAGTGAGTATGCAGGTTTGCTGCCACGGAAATGTAAAAATGGGGGATTTTAGGCCATAATCAAGTAGATCTCTACTAAATGAAGCCACATACCAATTATTATTAAGATATGCTGAGTAATAAGCTAGATATACAGTTTTATTTTTTCCCATAAGGATAACATGGGGGTAGTGGGGTCTTGCTTGGGGACAATGTTCTGTGTTTTCCGCCTTCAATATCTCGGTAACTAATGGTCATAGAGCAATGATTCAAAACACCAAATTGTTTGATTTTTTGAGCTGAATTCAATGGTATAAATAAAAATTCGATTATTTTACTCTGAAAAGAGTTATTATCAATTTAATGAATAGATGTCACACATGGCGGCCATCTTGGATTTAAGACGTCATAAAAACCAAACCCCGCAATTTGAGGGTAAACACCCGGTACTACACCATTATGTGACATATAATAAAGAGATTACACATTCCCTTCACAAAAAATCCCACGGAAGCTGGATATGTGCAGTTTGCTCCTGGACTAAAATATAGTTACTAGAGAATTTGACTCAATACGTCTTTTCTATATACTTCTCTTTGTTTTTCTGCTGTGTAGGCCATTTTTAGACCGTTATTCTTCGGACTGATTTAACATAAAAAGTACATAGAAATATACTTCCTCTATGTGTTTGGGAAACCCATACTAGTTTTTCTACTTTTTTACCATTTCATAAGCAACAGAACACAAAGGTGACTTTTGAGTCACTAACATGTTGGTAGGAACACTTATCGATAAGATATATTTAACTCCTGTTAAGGCTTCAAATGTTTTTATGAACTACGTTATAAAACATTGTTGATGCTATGTTACATATTTTAAGCTAATACATATAAACATTTTAATTTTTGCTGCCTCTAGGTGCCGAAGAACTACGCATTCGCGTACGCGGTGAAGGACCGCCAGTCCGGAGACGACTTCTCACACAAGCAGGCGCACAACGGGCAGTCGACCAAGGGCGAGTACAGGGTTAAGCTTCCCGACGGTCGTACACAGATAGTGAGTTATACTGCGGACAATTCAGGGTACAAAGCCGACGTGAGGTACGATGAGGCTGCCAAACCCGTGTCCAACCCTCAGGTGTACTACACAGGGCGACCAGCAGACAGTGTATACTACACTCCTAGGTACAGCGGTGTGTCCAACAGCATCCTACAGGAGCCTGACTACTCTGACGAACCAGAGGTGGGTACACTACTATTTTTTGTTTCAATGTACATCAGTGAGATTTTTAATTGCAAAAGTGTATGGAAAAAAAGATTCGAAGCCTCAAAGTTTGCGAAGGGGAGGATACGTCCTTCTCACACTTATGTTTAAGACACTTACGACTAAAGAAAAATCAACACAGGGTATTTTAAAGAGAAGTAAAATTTTACAATAACACTTTTTCTAGAATTTTGGATAGTAGAGTTGTTGTAGATGTTATCTCTAGGGTCCAATAAACAATTAAGTTTATACAAACATGATGTAACTACTGATAGTTTGATGTTTTTGATGCAATGACAAGCAAGTATTGTGCAAGCCTAAGCCTCTGTTAACAGTTGTACCTAAAGTAGAATATTTGTCCACACGAACTAAAAAACTAATCCAACACTACAACTCGTAACTGGTGGTTTTTGTTGAGTGCCAGTTCTGTCGCAGTGTATACTTTCTTTACAGCACCTTTCTGGTAGGAGCAATAAAATTAAACAACACTTACGCCACGTACACTCTCAAGTATCAAAATACAGACAACTAATATCTAACCCAAGTAATGTATCTCTTCCAGGTGATCTACAAACATCCAGTCCACGTTGTCGCTAAGTCCCACAGTGTTGCTGCCCAGTACGCCAAACCCTCTGCTACCCCTCGCCCACTAGAAGTACTCTTCAGTCCCACCCCTAGGCCATACAAGAGTCTACAACCTCTGCAGCTCAGGGCTCTTCCCCAGACTGCCGAGGAGTACACTAGCTCAGACTCCCCTAACTACTACCCCTATGTATCGTCCACCCCGTCACCTCCTGTGTCCGGGTACTACGCCTCTGCTGTGTCGTCCACCGCTACCCCTATAGAGGAGGAGCAAGACGACATACCCCGGCCTGCTACCAAACCCGCCCCTATCTCTAACTTCTACGCTACATCAACGACGCCGGCCCCCCACGGGGTGAGGTACATCCTCGTCCCTTCCCACTACTATGATGAATCATAAGTGGAAGTGTTATTTGCTCATTATGTGCCTTGGACCTTTGGACAGTTATACCCAAGTCCTATGTGTATACTTGGCGTGTGTTCTGTGTGTACCTATATTATGACTACTTAATCGTTTAACCATATAGATAAAGTTATAGACAGTTTGATTTGAGAGTGCAATGTGAAATGTTATAAATGAGTACTAACGTAAGTACGTTAGCCTTGGACTAATTACAGTACTAAATTCCGTTTAAAAAATGTTGGATGTTTTAGGGGAAGATTTCCTAGGTTCCCTAACTTTTTTTGCTTAATGTATTAATCAGCTGATCAGCTGTCGGCTTGTTGTCGAAGTTAGGATGATGTGGGGGGAATCACTTCCCTCAAACAGCCAAACGATTGTGAACGGAGAGTTGTCATTTTCTAAAATTAAATCAAGCATTAAAAGGAAATTTACAGCGATGACAAAATATTGGATCCAAAGATAGCTCAACAAGCCTATGATGAGTAAATATTTGTGGTGTTTAATGTTACACGCTATAGTCTATAGGGGAATCACCAAGATGTAGTCAGTAAAGTAACAGATCACTTTGACATAGGTGTATGCCATAACTGGTGCCTAAAATTTTAACGTATGAAAAGGAGTGAGAATACCAGTCCTCAGAAAGTGTTACCGTTTTATGAGTCAGTTACCACGAGTTTAAGACTTCAAACATTATGGAACATAAATAAGACTTATATAATACTCACACATTTTACAAATAATAGAATAAGTTAATTTCTAGTATTAATAATTTAAGGTTTAATTTTGTATATTTGTAATAAAATATGATATATTTTATTTGTGTATTTTATAATTCACTGTAATCATACCATTTAGTGATAACCAAACCGTACTGTTTCGTTGGCATCATACCGAAGAAAAATGGTGAACTACTAGGGCTCACGATAATTTGACAGTTTTAGAGGTGTTGAAATATTTACCAGCCTGATTACTTTTAAGTACGTATGCTTCGTGTCTTTGTTATTAAATACTTAGTGTTGACTATTTAAAAATAAAAATGTTATAAATGCACGTATATTGATGCAAATTTAGAACAATATACGGAGCAAAGATACAAGACTCTCGCGTAGTACCCAATGCTAATTCAGCTTATGTGGAATGGAAAATGTGAATTTCAGGAGCAATTTAACTGCTTTCATAACGAATTGGAACGTTTGAAGTATTTCCCCATTTCATACCAACAGTGCTACAACTACTCTTATATCTATATAGAACTGTAACAAATATCAGGATCCAACATTTTAATAATGACATGGACAGCCTGAACGCCAAGCTTGGTAAAATATTAACTATCTGACATTCAACATTGAAGTAAATTCTTTCGAAGCAAAATACTGTAAAGCGATTCGATTTTATTGAAACTCCAGTGGACTGCAAAGTGAAGTTCAATCCCGTCTTGCAACCAACTGTTGCAAACAAGTTAACAATTGATTCGCTGGACCCTGAGAGCCACTTCAAGTATTGGTTGCAGTACCTGGTATGATATATGGTAAAAAATACGGGATTTTACAAGTGGTGCAGCCAAGTGGGTTTTAACCAACAACTCTTCATACTCAACAGTGACCGGTTTTTAAAGTCGTAACTGCATTGTGATAGTATAGTATACATCGTGTAGATTTTATTAGGATTTTCTAATGTATATCCTGATCATAGTTGTATTTATTCTCAAACGGTATGTGTTTATTGATGTAATTTTTGCGAATGTCCTATTTAGGGATCTATTGCCATAGGTCTCATGGTAAAACCAAGCCCGGGACCGATATAATGTTTTTATGTCCCCAGAGGCCAAAAAACCATTCGTTCAGATTCATATATTTGTGTCCGTTAGCACCATTAGCAGTAAAAATCATCCGAAATTGATGAAATTATATACAATTCTATTAGCCTTTCTTTATTCCTACTAGATCAAGAACCAGCGTAATTGGACTACGGTAACGGGGTTTTACAGGGGATTTTATGGGGGTAAAAGTTGTTATTCCTATTTTGGCTCCCAATACATACAATTTTTGCAATTATCTTCCTAACTATTTTGCAGAGCTTAAAAAAAACTAATAATTTAGGATATTCAAGTGTTCTTAAGGTGACGGAGAAAATGCCAAAAAACTAAGAATTTAAAATTCTTATTCAGCTTTGGGGATCAGCAAGTACCTCAAACATTGAAATTATTCAACGTTACTAATCGAAATTACTACGTAATCATCTTGCACTAAATTTATTGGACAATCACAACACCACTTACAGACTGAAGCGACATACAATATTGGACCTCCCATTCAGGTTCAGCTAAGTGCTATCAACATTCTCATGTTCTTCAAGTTAACTTTTAATGTTGTATTGTTATTTCATTTGCTTATTGTCCAACTTTTGAACAGATTGTAAATTAAATAAGGTAAACAAATTGAATCGGATGGTGATTATATAAACTGTTTTAGTTTGCTTGTTTATATATATTTTGAAAACATTTGGCAAGTTTATTTATGTTATACTATGCTTTTATTATTTATTATTAAAAAAAAAACTTTTACCTTCCTTTCCCTAAGCAAACCTGCGTACTCTTTAAACGCAATTTTACTTGAATAGGAAATAAACCAGACTATTTTGAGAAAACATTTTAGTGATAATCCAACATCGCAAATGAAAATAGGCTTGATCTGCAGGTTTACTGAGGGGGGGGGGTATATTTTTTATACTATGATATGATATATTGACGGTGATTTCTTCTGACTCCTAGTGGGCCGTCCCCGAAGAGGTAGTGTATCACTGAATCATATATTGAAATGATCTTAATATGTTCCAAGTTTTAAAGCTACATCTTTAATACTTTTTGAAATATTTAACCGTCCCGGGACTTTTTCGCCCTGTATAAATTTGCTATAACTTTAACGGTATAATGTAATATCTACTCGGTATGTATATATAATGACAAGCATATGTTACTATTCGTTTATCAACAGGTACAGGTTAATCTTTCCCTAGGGCATTGCTGTCTAGTACATTAGACATAACAACTCCACTGTGGCCATGTAGCATGTAATACAACTGGTATAGGTTACTTTACACTAGAATTTCGTACTATTGCCTGTCCCCTTTTTAACTTGAACTTTTCATTATTGTGTACTAACCTATCTGTGATTTGTCTATTGTGGTAGATTATAGTTTCAAAGCATTTAAAACGGTTGGAAAACGGCAAAATGAATTAATAATTCATTGAGTAAATATCATTCACTGCATTTAAACTGCTATATTTTACTTAAATATCTTGCCTAAAAACCCTATATAATAATGTACTAACTCAATACTGTACGTGGTGCAATTTTAACTGTAGCTTAGTCAACGTTTTACTATAATGTTTATTTAAAGAATTGCCTGATGATGTATCCAAGAACCCTCCATGTCAACCAGTATTCGAAAACAATTCAATAATTTTAGTTTTTATTGCCCGGACATTAGATCTAAAACTATTCTACACGTTTAGTAAAATAATAACAATGACTATTGTTTTCACTGTCACTAGATTTCCTTTAAAATTAGTACCGTCAACACTTTTAATTCTTAAACATTTGAAACTTTGCATGTGATTTAGAACTTGTTTTAAAGAAAGGTATGGAATAAAGTTTTTTTTCGATAGGCCTACAAATGTGATAACTACTGTAATATACTATCACGTTTCTACATAGATTGATGCTTGCCAAATAAAATAATTACAGGTCAAACATTTTTTTTCTATCTTTGCTTGTACAAACAAGCAACAAACTATTGAATATCTTAAGGCCATTTACCGTGTCTTTGAAACTTAAACACAGCGTTGCAAAACAATGTTTACTCATTAAACTTTCTATTGTTAAAGTTTTTCGATTACCTGCTGTAAAATAGTAATTAGTCTAAGACGTAAAATTGGACTGGTAAAAATTCTTTTGAGAAGCATATTCATAGAACACATTCAAAGGTAAATGTTTTCAAACAAGTTTTGAAACCAAGCAAAACTTTTAATAACATTAATTGTTTATTTTTTACAATATGAAAAGACACAAAATTCTCTTAATTTGTATCTTATTTTTTATATTCATAGATGAAACTACTTAAATCACAACAATGATATATTTTAAAATTATAATCTATTTGTTAATTCGTTTGTTTAATTAATGTCACTGTAGACGTAAAATTAACTTTTGAAACTTTGTAAAAAGCTTTACGTAGCTAAAACAGGTAAAGTTAACAATCATTATCATTTCATTAAACAGATTGGAAAATAAAATTGGCCGATTAACACTTGACATGTTTCTTGTACTATGATTTAAGGTGGAAGATAATCATAGGAAGATGTCAGTAGTTTGACATAATATCTTAAATTATAAATAAAAAAGGGGTTCTACAAACGTGGTTAGCTCTTAAACTTATATATTGCTACTGACCGTAGTTATTATCTAATCTTAGACTAGGCAATGGCAGTCTTCAGACTAGGCAGTAACTAACTAAGTCTAATGCCAAGGGTGTTAATGTTCCTTAATGTATTGCCCCCTTACTCCCGTGCGGTTTTCTGGGATAGTATACCACCGCAGCCTTCCACACATGTGGTCAAAAGGTTGCAAAAAGGGGTTGGGAGATCCTTCTACCAATTTTTAACGAGACCAAGTTTCCTTCTTATATTAAGGTTGGCCCTATTAATAGTTTCTTTCCTGTTTTCTACTGTTTTTCTTCTTCCTTTTAAGTCTGGCCTCTGCAACGATGCCACAATTCCCGTCTAGGGCCCGAAAGGGGCTTGTTTCTGCCGTCACACCGAAGGGACCTTGGGCAGTGCGGGGCACACCAGTACCTCTGCACTATATGGGTTCCCATGGCCCCCTAGTTCACCCTGGGCGATAAAAGAGGAAACTTCCAAAGAGGAGTTACTAGGACTGTCACGAGTAAATCTGATCTTCCGGTATTGGGAAAACAGAGCCCAGGCTTCGGGGAACAGAAGTAGAGGTTTGACACCTCACAACCCTATCCGGTTATTCCGAGCTACCCTTTTCCGGGAAAACGCTGTTCTAAGTGTAAGACTCACTAACCCAATTTAAATCAGCAACAGATACCCGAAATGGTAGAACCTGGTGCTAGTAAGCTGTTTGTACTTCGGCATTTGAGGTTTATCTGGGCTAACTGCTGTTGAAAAGCCCTATAATTACGGGTTCAATGCCATATAAGACTGCTGTCGATGGGCACGGTATTCTCGATAACGACCAAGGGGGGACAATCGTTGGTGTGTCACAGTTCGTTGAGGGTATTCTCCGAACCAACAAGCCAGACCTTGAATGAGCGGTCTAGGTTATAAAATAAGTGAATCCCAGAAAAAACGCGAGTCCTGAGGGCTTAACTCGCAT